ATGTTACATTGTCATTCAGTGTAACACAATATTTATGTAAAAATTCAAACAACATGTTTATTCTGACGTGTACATATTAAAATATATAAAAGAAGAAGAGTGAGCATATAACATTTTATTGGGTTTTAAATGAGTAAAAAATTATTACTGACAAATGGGCAAAACCCAGGATAGTGGCAAATTTAAAACTAATTAGTATTTGGGGTGAAAGTAATTAGTTTTTTAATATGTCATAAATTGATTTTTGTTGTAAATATGTCTGACAAGATTGTTACACTATGACTTTTTAGTGGGTGTCTTCTGTAAGTCAGTGGAAAATGTATGATATTTATTTTTTGCTCCGAAAAACAAAAACAAAAATACAATTACATGAAACAGAAAACTTTTTAATTATTGTTTTTCCAACAACAACAATTTAAAGCAGTATTGTTTTTATGCTTAAACCCTTTTTCGTCTTTGACCCATTTATTTTTATGGAAATTACATTTTATTAATAATATAAACAATAAGTAAGTTTTATAAATATGTAATTTTTTCATTTGTGTAAATTTTGCTTCAACATTTATTTATTTTGTATAATTTATTCCATTTGTTTCTCATCAAAATTTTATGTTGCACATTTTTTCTCTTCTGTGAATAACAGGGTCATCTTTAAGCTGCTTGCATCCAAAAGTGAAGGGATTCGTGTGCAGGCACTCAAAGTCTTGGGCTACTTTCTCAAATATTTGTCACCAAAGTGAGTTACTTATGTATTATTTGGAATTTAGGCTGTAATAATACTGTTAATCATATAACATGTTAACCTTGTTTTTAATATGTGATTCCTATGCATGATTATTTTACTAAATGATTCAGTAGTGGATGGTCTAGCTATAAATATTTAGCAGAAATAAGCTCTCAGCATGCCATCAAGGATTTTTTTTTTCTGAAAATGAACAGTTTAAAATAAGCGACTAGGTCTTTTCCCAGAGGGAATTCAGCTGGGTTATTTTGATAACAAATTACCCTCACTCCACTGTTAATTCATGCAGCATGGAAATATTTATGCACTAATGCAGTCAAAGTCTGTAATCGTGTGCGAGTATTTTTCCAAATGCAGTTTCTGTAGTGTTTGATTGATAAAGCTCACTTTCATTTATAATCCCATTTGCTTGTGAATTTCCCCCAGAAGGATTCTGACCGCCAAGTGTTTTTTAAAATAGATGCAGCTTCATTCCGTGACTATGAAGATATTTTTCAGAAGCTCTGGGCTGCAGTTATGCCCTGTCGGGGTGAAGTAGATCATAGAGTGGGTTTGGTGCTGATGTTTTGGATGCCATGTGTTTTAGGACAAAGTCAGAGGTGATGCTGGCTCACGGTCTGTTCTCTCTGCTGACTGAACGATTGATGCTCCACTCGAACCAGTTCACAGTCACAACATACAACGTGCTCTTTGAGGTCAGTCTCTTACATTGATACCATGCTTTTAATGTCTGCTTATAGCACTTTGTTTTTGACTATAATATTGTGCAAACGTCAGCAAAATGTTACATTAGGTGAAAGTGCACGCTTTGGACATGCTTGACTGTGGTGCTTATGCCAGACAAGCAAATCTGGCCTGCTTCGTAAAGAGAGTTTCCCCTCTCTTTTGTGGTCTCTATCCATAAAAAGTGTCAATAAAAAGTGAAAAAACTCTCTATCTACTCTAGGGATGTGCCACAATATCGTGCATATTCATTACCGTGATACATCGCATTACCGAATACCGGCACAAGTCTAATCTACTCTATCTCTATCTAAAACTCTATCTACTTTGATTTAGGTGGTTTACGTTCTCTCATGGATTATCTTTTTGTTTCTTTCTTTTTTATTTTATTTATTTATTTTTGTTCATGTTGTTTATATTTTTTATTTGCACAAACTCTATATTGGCGAATGTATTGCACCAAAAAGATTATGCTGAAATCCTGATTAAAAAATGTTTTTGCCAGTTGTCCCTGGATTATGATTGTTGTGAAATGTTTCAAAGTTCAGGTCATGCTATTTTTGTGTCTTTCATGATTGATCATTGCTAATCTGGATTTTGGTGCTGTGTGTCAGTGACTAACCAGAGCTGATATGTAATTTTCTCCAGATTCTTACGGAGCAGATCTGTACTCAGGTCATTCACAAACAGCACCCAGACCCTGACTCCACTGTGAAGATTCAAAACCCACGTAAGTTATATGAAACGCAGTGCCTTCGCCTGTAACACCGGTGATTAAATGTGCATATACACACTTCATTTAATAGCTGTTAATAGATTAAAAAAATACATTTTTTAACTAATAATACTAATTTTAACGTAATTCAAATTTTTTTTTCTATTAAGTTTTTTTGTAACTTTACCTTATTAATATTAACAATGATGATTAACAGTGAATTCTTATTGCTAAAAGGCTGTAAGTGGAAACTTCACGTTTATCTAGACTAAGTTCTTTTTGTGCTGCAGGTTTACCTGCCTTTCTCAGAAAAATCTCAAATTTAAAATGTTATGCCAACGCATTTTATACCACCTCTCGTGTGTATGGAAAATGTCTTTACATGAGAGTCGGCAAGATCACAAGCAAAGCCTGCCTCCTATTGTAAAATAGTGGTTGACTGATATAGTTTTTTTGACAGCTGATGCCGATGCCAATATCTTGGAACGCAGGGTGGCCGATAGTCGATATGAAGCCAATATAATTTTTTTTTTTTTTACATTTTAATTAATATTTAAGAAATTTGAAATCATTTGAAAATGGATTAAAAAATAAATGTGTAAAATAAACATATTTATACTTTAGATGACAAAGTATTTTTCACAAATAAACAAATATTTAATGAAAATATAATTAAAAAGGAAGTAAACACTTTAACCAACAGGGCACTCAGTATTCTGGGAAGTTTGTGTGCATTGGGAATCATATTTTTCAAATAAAGCCAGGGTAACACTCATTTTACATACAGCACACAGTGAAAATGACATGAATATGACAGTGGGCAAATGCATAAAGCGCAGCATAATTTGAAACCACGAGTTTAAAGTTTAAAGCATTCAATTCGCACAGACCGACCGTCACGCAGAGAACACGCGATCATGCAGGCCACATGCACACTTCACAAGATCTCACAGCTGGATTTGACTAAGTTTGCAAGGTTTGTGAAATTAAATGTTCAGTATTCATTCAAAGATTTGTTTAAAAAATTAAATTTTCATTAGCCATTCAAAGATTTGTTTAAATGATGTAAATGCGTATTTGCTGAATGCTGACGGCAAGCGAGAAAGTATTATAATGTTTGCCTTTGTATTACTAATAATATAAAAGCAATCGTTATAATACTTTTTGTATACATTTTAATTCCTTTGTTTAACCGTTCTATCTGATTATTAGACAGACTTCTATCCGTATTAGACAGAACTGTTAACAATGACAGTAAACGAGGGAGAATGTGAGTGCTGTGTGCTCAGGTGCTGCCGTTCTCAGCGGCGTCAAAATAAAAGTCCCGCCTTGAACACATCGGCCAAACAAAAAAACTTATCGGCCGATGCCGATATTTGAAAAATATCGGCTTTGGCTATATATCGGTCGACCACTATTGTAAAATGGCTTAACTCCGCTTATTTTTACTCATGATTTACAATAATATTGTTAAGCCAGTCTAATTTCATATTGCTGTGGCTGCAGCGGTGCAAATCAAACAGCCACCGGCATTTTCTTGCGTCTAATGGTGAAGAATACAGTTACCTCAGACAAATGAAGCTCATTTGATGGTCACGAATACTCGGATGATAAACACATTAAAAAGTAATTAACTTCCCACTGTAGCACTGAGTTTTTTTTTTTTTTTTGCTGCATCGGTTTCTGAATATTAGATGGCTGAATCGTCTCTTATAACAAGATGCCTTTCTTTCCAGCCTCAGTTTATGCTCAATTTAGCATGTGTCTCCTTTAAATCCAGTACAGGATTTGGCAGCAATCAGATACTCTGGTTTTAATGTAAAAAGTGAAACTAATATTGTATACCGATCCATATTGGACCTTTCCCTAATGAAGCTTAATTCTGAGGTACTGCAGGCAGCTGATTATAGCTGTATTTACATGGAGATGTGACCATGTACACAAACCACTTGCCAGTCAGAAGAATGACAGTGAATCACAGATCCTGGATCGGTTCTAGAGCGTTCTCATATATGATCAGAGAGTGAGCACAGCAGAGTTTCAGCTTTCTTCTGTGTCTCCTTGATTTGATCTGTGTTGAAGCCTCTAAATGGCTCTGATTGCAGTCTTTAGCCATGTCAGACCCAATCAAACAAACTGAGGAAGCAAAAGTTTCTTTTAAATTAAACTCCGGGACAAACCAGGACCAAATGGTGATTGGAGAGCGAAAAAAACAGAAAAGTGCAGAGATACATGCAAAGGTAATTTTCTACTGGTAAGGTTCAGTGACTCTAATTTGAGTGAGTAAGGCGTAGAAACAACACAATTCTGCTGGAACGAGTGAGAGCATTGGTTACAGATGCTGTCGTGCTCTAAACTCCCTGTGACGGCTGAAACTTGAGCTGCTCTTCTCAACCTAATGCATGCTGACATTGTCTAGATAATTCATCTAAACAACCAATCTTTCCAGTTTAAGCTAACGCTCTGTTCCAGGAAGCCACGACTGTAGCTGCAGAGTTTAGACAATACTGACCTTATGATGTGGAGTACATTTTTACTCCCTCCACATTATATGCAAGTTATTTCCTCACTATAGGCAAGTGTTGGGGGAAAAAATTAAATGTATCCGTTTTATTAGAAAGTGCAATTTTCTTTCTCCTTGCTGTTTCATAAATTATTTTTAAATATATACATTTACACTACTATTCAAAGTTTGGGGCTGGTTAGAATTTTTTTGTTTCATTTTGAAGGTCTCTTATGCTTACCAGGGTTTCATTTATTTGATGAAAAATACAGTAAAAACTAATTAAGATAACTTTATAAATGTTTAAAAAATAATTAATAGCAAAGCTGAATTTTCAGCATCATTACTCCAGTCTTCAGTGTCACATGAACTTATGATGCTGATTTTGGTGGTCAAGAAACATTTGTTTCATTATTATCAATATTGAAATACTTAATATATTTGTGAAAATCACGATGCAATTTTTTCAGGATTCTTTGATGAATAGAAAGTTCTATTTATAGAAACAGAAACATTACATTTGTAGCATAATAAATGTCTTCACTTTTCAAAATGTCTGCATTCTTGCTAAATAAAAGTAATAATAATAATAAAAAATCTTACTGACCCCAAACCTGGCAGTGTACATATATAAATTTTATTTTAAAATATGCTATAACTGTTTGTGCATCTGTTAAACAAATAATGTTTGAATATGTTGTTTACTAAAAAAAATCTTTATCCTATACTATAGTGTATAAAAAGATAAACTTGAGTGACGACTGTCCTTTTAATGCATCATAAGCTTTTTAAATACGAAGCAGTCAGATACTGTGTGAAGCGGTGCTGTTCATTCATGGGCGTTAAACGCAGATATTTTGTTCCATCAGAGATCCTAAAAGTGATAGCTGCTCTCTTAAAGAACGCTCCTCCAGGAACAGAAACCATGGAAGCACGGCGTATCTTCCTCTCAGACATGATCAAACTCTTCAACAACAGCCGGGAGAACCGCAGGTGAGGACACAGACACACACACACACACACACAAACACACACACACACACACACAGAGTCCAGTGCCAGATCTTCATCATGCTCGTCATCAGTAGTATTTTCTCTGAAATGAGTACTGTTCTTTTACAAACTTGTTCTTTTCTGTAGGAGTCTGTTGCAATGCTCGGTGTGGCAGGAGTGGATGCTGTCTCTGTGCTTTATAAACCCCAAGAACAGCGAGGAGCAGAAGATCACAGAGATGGTGTACGCCATCTTTCGCATCCTCCTTTATCACGCCATTAAGTATGAATGGGGCGGCTGGCGCGTGTGGGTGGACACACTCTCCATCACGCACTCCAAGGTCAGGACCCAAACGCACACACAAAACAACACACGGATGGATGGATGTAGTAAATGTATATGTTACTTGCAGTCATGAATATTTACATGAATTTACAAAACTTGGTGCATACAACACAGGAAAGGATATATGCCTGTAAAATGTTTAAAATGTAAATTATTATTACTGTTATTATTATTATTATTATTATAACCAAACAGCAGCTAATAGTAACAAATGAACATGCATATATGTGACCCATACCCCAGCGACTTAAGACTGCTTTTGTGCTCCAGGGTCACATATTTGTTTTTCAAATTTCATATGCACTACTTTTTAAAAAATGTTTTTGTAGGAAGTCTCTTATGCTCTCACCCAGGCTGTGTTTATTTAATAAACTAAAATACAGGAAAAAAGTAATATTGTGAAGTATTTATAAAAATTTTAAAGAACCGTTTTCTATTTTAATATATTTTAAAATGTAATTTATTCCTACGATGGCAAAGCTGATTTTTAGCAGCCATTACACCGTTACATTTCAGAAATCATTCTGATATTTGGTGCTCTAATATTTGGTGTTCTGGTAACATTTCTTATTAGTATCAATGTGGAAATCAGTTATTCTGCTTAATATTTTTGTGGAAACTGTGCTACATTTTTTTCCAGGATTCATTGATGAGTAGAAAAAAACAGCATTTATTTGAAATTGATTTTTTTTGTAACAAAGTAAAAGTCTTTGCTGTGTAGTTTGATCAATTTAAAGCATCTTTATGGAATAGTACTATTAATTACTTTCATTAAAAAGCTTGCTGACTGCAAACTTTTAAATAGTGTATAAATTTGAACAAATAGCATGCTATATAATATAACAAAAATATTTTAATATAAAAGTAGATATTATAGTGTTGGTTGCTGGTTGCTAGTGTAAGTTTCATAAGACATATGTGCTGACATTAAATAGGAACAAAATATGACTTTGCCTCCTTGTGTCAAAAGTCATGCCACTGATGTAAACCTATTATTTTTCTCTCTCTAGTGTCTCCGTCCATCACTATGTCTCTCTTCCTTTCTTTAACACTGACTGCACTCTTTTAGTTGGTTTTCCCTCCTGTGCTCAGCCTCTCTGCGTCAGCTGTAATCCACTGGATTCTCACTGCAGAAACATGACTGTTATTACGCTCCATAATCAACTAGACTTCTCAGATTAGAATCTGTATTTCCCTCCACTGCCAAACCCTCTGTTCATACTTTTATTTACAGATTGAATTGCCTCTTTAATGTATTTGAGAGCTCTCAGTTTTCTAGCTTCAGAAATGTCTATTTTAAGATGCTCTATTGATATTGTGATATGGACATGGTTCCAAGAGTAGTGAAGTCATTTGGTGTCAGCCTCTGGCTCTCCTGGCATTGCTCTACTCTGCTTGAGTTCTTGTCACTGGCCACTTGGGGGCGCAGCTGTGCTATGCAGTGAGATGTGTAGAAACGGGGATACGTGTAGTGCTCAGTGTGCTCATTCATCAGCATATGCAGCCTTATTACAGCCTGAGATTGACTTCAAGTGGGTTATTTCTGTTACTAGTGTCACCAAATGGAATTGTAAAAATAATGGTTTTCAAACAGGTTTCCCATTGGTTGGACTAACAGCTTCCACAGACCTATGCCATTGACTAAGCCAGTGTTGCTACTGTATGTCAAGCTGGTCAGGATGCTCAAATAAACGTCTTGAAATGTCTTGATAGCACTACAGTGATTAAGGGAATTTTCAGGAAAATCAATATAAATTATACAAAATAAATCATTACTCAGAGATGGCCAAACCAGGGCCCGTGAGTCAAAATAGATTTGTGGCGACCTTTGATTTGGCCTGGCCATGTAATTTCTCGTAATAAGTGAGAATATTGAAAATATAAGTGAATTTTATTTCAAAATATATACATTTTTATATAATATAGTTGGATGCTATGCAACATTTACTCTCAGTCTGCGACCCATAATCAAGTTTGAATTTTGGCCCTTCATAGTAAAAAAGTTTTGCCATATCTGCTACAAATGGTTTACTGACAGTCTCTATGTCAGTGTTATGATGTTAATCTCATAATTGAGATTTTTTTACAAAGACAACTTACACACTTCAACTTTAAATATGTGTTTGCTGACGGGGCGTTGTGTTTAATCTTTCCCTGGGGTTGGTCTGTTTTGCATGAGCAGTTCATTCTCTGCTTTCATTATAAAACACCATTAGGCCTTTAGTTCCTTGGATCTGCATTAGGCGTTTAGTTATCCCACTAAATGTTTGCAGCTTGTGTCATCATAAACTGAATGAAGTGAATGAGTTGTGAAGCCCAGTGTAACTCACTAGACTTGAAGCTCCATTCATTTGCATTCATAGACATGTCACTGCTGGAGACCTGACTGACGCAAACCCATGCAAAGAAATTTTGTCTTCTGCCACACATCAATTTCAAGTTTGGTGAACTCTGACCTGTGAATTCACATAGCACAAAAATATTTGACCAACGAAGGATCCAAATGCCATGGATTGACCTCTTGAAGTCATGCACTTAAGGCAAGACACCCCACGTGAAAAAAGAGAAAGAAACACACACACACACACACACACACACACACACACACACACTAAAACTTATTATATAGTGTGGCTTATACTTTCAATTATATTTCATAAAGAATGTGTATTGTGCAAACGGGTTGCATTGTAATTAGTCTTAAATTGCTCATAATTGATTTGGTAATATATTTTGCATTTTACCACTCTCATGTATTTGTAATTCATTAATTTCATATCAGAAATTCCTAAAAATGAAACAAACAGGTTCATTTACATCTATGTTTATTCATTTTCAGCCGTTTTATCCATAATGACTTACAAATGAGAATAATACCAGCAGAAGTGATTAATTCAAGGGGTGAAGAAGTTGTGCTACCGAACTTAATTCAGAAGTATGCTAAAATGCATTTAAGAAAAAAAATTATAATGATGATAGGTACTAATAGTAATATGTAAAAAAATTACCTTAAAAAAAACATCATAAAATAAAAAAAATTCTCATTCACCCACAGTTAATTGTCACATTATGTTATACACAATAAAATAAAACATAATCTCTGGGTGGACTGAGCAGCATTAAAGTATTGCAGCGTGCTTTGCTCTCACTCTTTTTCATGCAGACATGTTATATTTGAGTGTGCTTGCGTTCCTTAAGTAGCTCACTGCTGAGCAAGTGCACACAAATTGATCATTCCCCTTCCTATGGGTCAAGCCTGTAATTGCTTTTTTGCGCTATAATTGCACAAGATTAATGCAGGTAAGGTCGTGTTCTGTTTACAGCGTCTCTGCTCTGATCTAAAAACAGAAAAGTGGGTCGTGCGTATGAATGGGAAAGGTACAGCAGTGCAGAGCTAGAGAGATACATGCATCTGCTGAGGAAAAAAAAATGCTAAAGAAACTCAATTGCAATTTTATTGTCCGGCGTGATAGATTTCCTGCCAACTCTGGAGTAGGAGAGCTGTTTGTCACTGTAGCTCTCCCTTTCAGCTGCAGGGGCTGGCTGACTCTGTGTGTGTGTGTGTGTGTGTTTGTGTGTGTGGAATAGAAAGTGAGTGTAGTGTACATAGAGAGTGTATGTTTTGTACAGTATATGTGAATGCTATGTGTGGTTTTTAGGTTGTAGTATACAAGGTCTCCAGATCCCCATTTTTGAACACATTTAATATTCATCTAAAATGGCCTTGGCAATCATTAGAACAAGTCCTCATAAATTCAACCAGCCTTTTGGGAACCCCCTGGTAAATAAATACATGCTCTTGGGCAGACATACATTTAGACTAGCATGCAAAGCTTTTTTTTCACTATTCAGTTGTTTTTCCAGCTCACTAGAACGCTGTCTGTCAAAATATTGAGTAAATTTATTATTATAATATAAGTATGAAATATTTCTTAAATACATAATTTTGTATTGAGTTCATTACTAGAGGTCGACCGATGTATCGGTTTTGCCGATTAATCGGCACCGATAGTTGATTGCTGGAACTATCGTTTATCGTCAAAAATCCATAGCAAAATCCACTATCGGTCGACCTCTATTCATTACTATGATTGCAGTTCATTACAGTTCATTACTCAATATGTGTGTGTGCATATATATGTATGTTTTATTTTATGTGTCTCAGTATTTTTAAATCTATGGAATCTGACGAAAATCTATATAACAACAATATACGATTTTAATTTGAGCAAGTGTGCCGTTATCTGATTGTTGCTTGATTGTGTTTTACTGGGCATGTGTGTGTCAAAGGAGATGAAGTCTCCTTTCCAGCCAGCTCATTGCAGGCAGACAGATGTTTCTGCAGATGGGCCTGCTGACTCCACAGCTTACCCAAGGTGCCCCTGTCCCAGCACTGCGCATAAATGAGACCGGCTCCACACAGTTACTGTAGGGACAGTTTTCTGCTGGAAGTGATCACCTTGTGAAAGACTTGGTGCCCTTCATGCTTTCCTAGTCAGCACTCTTCTGTTCCACTGTAAGGAACATCTTAATGGGTGAAGGAGACGTTGTAATGGTCCTGCAAAAGTGTCTGCTTTCCTGGAGCCATTAGTTTCATTCTAGAATACTCTATAGAGAATTCTGTGATCTCCTCTGGGGCATCACGCTATGCTTTTGTGTTCTCCAAGGGAAGGAGAAAGTGTTCTGAAGCAAAGTCATAAGTGTTTAAGAGAATGAATTTATTTCTTGAATTTTTAGAGCACAACACGTTGTTTCAGCATCTCCAGTGCTTGTTCATGAAACCCCTTATGACTGTGAACACAATGGAAATTTATAAAGCAGTAACTCTTAAAACATATTGCATTTTAAAATAAATGATGAAATTAATATTTATACCTTTCTACCTTGCTAGAAAATAAGGTTACACTTTATTTTAAGGTGTCCTTGTTACAGTGTAATTACACAAGATAAGTACTGAGTAATATTAATTAACTACATGTACTTACTATATGGTTAGGGTTAGGATTTGGGTTAGGCTTAGGCTTACTTGCATGTAATTATGCATAATTAATTGTTATTATTATATTAAGTACATGTAACATGTGTAACAAGGACACTTTAAAATAAAGTATTAACGAAAATAATTGGGAATAAATGAACAAAATAAAAATTAGGAATAATATGATAACTTGAAGGGAGCATTTTGTTATGAACTTGACCTATACTGTATGTCACTATTAATATCCCTTCCCCATTTTTGGCCTCTAGAAAGTAGAGACTTGTTGTATTTTATAGGAAGAGCGCGTATCCTACTTCTTATACCAAGCATCTCGAGCAATATGACAAGCCAATATTCATAAAATTTATTTAGTTAATTTAATTAATTAACTGCTTTGAATGCGTGAGTTAGTGGGTACTAGAGCTTGAATAATATAATATAATATAATATAATATGAAAGTTCTGTTAGGACATATAAAAATAGTGTCTTCTATATTGCCTGCTAACATTATTAAGAGTTTATTTTTGGACCTTCTTAACATTAATATCTTGTTGACCAACAAGAAACAGATTTAAAAACAAAGATGCTTGACCGTAGTGTGATTCTGGGCCTAATGGAGATGTTGGAAGGAATGACCTGCCCATCTAAGAACGTCAAGCCTATTCTGTGGTATCATGAAGCTGCTTATCATGCTTGACAACAGCAATACTATGGATTTCGAAGACAATGGGATCCAGTATTGGAACATTACATTGCAGCCTGTCTGTATTGAAGAAACTCATAGGCCGGCACGCAAACTGGCTTTAGAACATGGATAACATTGACTGTTTAAAGACATTGACATTGATAAACCATTCACTTTCTTGACATTCATTTTGCAAGCTTATTATACCATCACAAAAGCAAAGTTTAAAGAATTTTCTGAGTGTTTTATCACCAACCTTTTTTTATTTAGCTGTCTTACAGAAATTTCTAAGATGATGATCTCTTTCATCTTAGTATTATTGTATAGTAACTTTGTTATAGTTCCATTTTTTTTTTCATTTTAAGAATAAACCTAGTGAGTGGAAAAGTAAAAAAAAAAGTCTCTGTGGATCAAGACGAAATACACCACTTTTATTCAAAACATGGTACACTAACGCAGTTTTGCTTCTCATGTTCTTTTGCTGCTTTTAATGTGATGTTCAGATATTTTTTTACCTTCTGCTTGCCTGTCTTTCCTGAGCCTCTCTCTGTGTACCTTTACTCCACACTCATGCAAACAGCTGTGAGAGTATCGAAGGAGGAAAAAATAAAACTAACAGTGTCTTTTGGACAGACGAGAAGGGTTTTAGTCTGCTGACCACATTGATTTTTGCAGGAATGGAATCGCATTTAACTAATCCAATTAGAGCATTCGCAGGGTCCCTATTTCCACTTTGTTTTGCGGTTACTCACTATCTATTGATCTAAATGGGGCTCCCTACCGGCTCTACTGTGAGTGTCTGTGGTCGACTGCTCCCTGCTGATCTAAGATCAGTGATTTAAGCATTGTTTCTGTCTGTTGCTGAGCTTGCAGTCTGATTGCTGCAAGTTCTGCTGGATCATCAGTCTGATGCTCGATGAATCTTCCTTTGAATTAGGGATTATTTTAGTTAATAGGACAATATTTGGTCGAGATACAACTATTTGAATATCTGGAATCTGAGGTTGCAAAAAAAAAAAAATCACCTTTAAAATTATCCAAATGATCAAAAAGTCCTTAGCAATGCATATTACTAATAACAAATTCAGTTTTGATATATTTACGGTAGATACATTTACAAAATACCTTCATGGAACATGATCTTTACTAGTGGTCGACCGATATATCGCCAAGGCCGATATATCGGCCAATATTTGAAATTTTTCATATATCGGCATCGGCCGATAAGTTTCTCTGTACTTTGTCATCTAAAGTATAAGTATGTTTATTTTACACATTTATTTTTTAATCCATTTAAAATGATTTCAAATTTCTTGAATATTAATTAAAATAACTACAATTATATCTGCTTTAATTAGTAATAGAAAGGCAAACATTATAATACTTTCTCTTTTGCCGTAAGCATTCAGCAAATACGCATTTATAACATTTAAACAAATCTTTGAATGAATAATGAACATTTAATTTCACAAACCTTGCAAACTTAGTCGAATCCAGCTGTGAGATCTTGTGAAGAAAAAAATAAAAAAATGCAATGAATTATTGATATTTTTCTGAAAGGTCATTTGAAAAATGGATTTACATTAAGTTGTATAATTTGGCAACCAGACACCCTGGTCATGCAAAGCTCATTGTCATGAAACCTGTACTGTATTCTTAGATAAATTGTAGGTTTTTCCATGCCTCACATATAGAGTACGGACCGGAATTAAATTAGATCAGATTGAAACTGATGTCTAGCCCACCCGGTGGCATACAGGCTATGTTTCAAAACCACATTTCTGTAGTTACCCCCTTTCCAGAGTAACTTTATCTCTACAACACGCCAAGGGCTCACATGTACTCTTTGCTGGTAATAGTAAAGGTAATGCTTTTTACATGACGTAATACTTTATTGGTACGATACGCATTGTAGCAAGCTGCCAGACAATGAGGTGCTTTTAGTGTACATATGAGGAATTCTTTAAACATTTAACAGCATATGGTATACTTACTGATTCTTGAAGATAATACCTAACAGGATAACATGGGGCCTCATGTGCAGCTTTTAAACCCTCAGAGGTTTGCAGGAGTTCTAACTTTTCATTTTTCACAAATCCTGAAATGCCTCGCAGGCCCTCCAGATATGTTTGGACATTCATTCGAAATTTTGAGTGGTTTTATCCATATGCCTCCCTCCCTTCATTTGGTATCCAATCACAAAAGAGGGCAATGTTTTTCTGAAAATACACCGTGTGGATTTAATAGCTAAATGTTAAATGCTGTATTGAGCCCAGACTAATGGTCTTGCCTATTCCAAAGAAGAGAGTCAGGAGAGAAAGAAAACGAGCAATACGTTTCAGAGTTGTCTGTTCAGCGCAAACAGCCATGGATTACCCATCAGACCACATGGAAGATTAATGGCCAGGCTTGTAGCAGGCTAATTTAGAACAATAACGGCCAATTAATTACGTATAATAAGGCTTTCTTGCCTAAATGCAAATGCTGGCATTGGTGTGGAAGCTGCAAGTTGTTTCTCGTTTCCCCAGTGGTGTGTTTGACTTTCCGTCTGTTGTGTTCTTTTGATAAATTGAGGTGTGCTTAGACTTCTGTATCTGCAGATGCTATGCACTGTCTGCTGCTAATTGCAGTCCTAAACACACATGACCATCTCTCTTTTCGCTGATTTATCTTATCTTATCTTATCTTATCTTATCTTATCTTATTCAGTTAGTTCTTGTCCTCAAATCTGTTTGGATCATTTTTTTGCACCCTCAGATTCCAGATTTTCAAATAGTTGTATTCTCATTGATAGTTGTATAGTTGATAGTTAACTCAATAGTTGTATTGTATCTCATTCTCAGCCAAATATTGTCCTATCCTAACAAACCTTATATCAATGGAAAGCTTATTTATTCAGCTTTCAGATTTTGAAAAATTGACACTTAAGACTGGTTTTGTGGTCCAGGGTCACATATGTGAAAAATAATTACATCAGTAAGGTGCATTTAAACTGACGAGAGAATTTAAACATCCAAACTTTTTGATTGCTTGATCGCCTAAAGTTCTTGATTGCTGCTAATTTCTTTTTAGTTTGTCCTGATTGAGAATTGACTTTTTGCTGCTCTGCATAATTAACATTCCTCCGAACACTCTTACTGCCTGTTTCATCAGGTCACCTTTGAGGAACACAAAGAGAATCTGGCCCGCATGTTCACTGAGTACCAGCGGATGGGTTCTGAGGGAGGATCTGAAAGCAGAATCAGAACAATATCTGGCATCAGTCACGATTCTCAGTTCCTTGCCTCAGCCAATGGTGAGCTGAATGCAGAGGAGACCGCTCCATCTACTGTAATTGAGCTATGTGTGGAGGAGAAGGTCACCGATCAGCCTGGAGACAGTGAGGAAACGAGGACCCAGATCCCAGTCACAGTGTCTAACATTCTGGCTAGAGATGAGGAAGAGAGACAGACAGACAGCATTGCCGCTTCTCCACAGAAAGGGGATGAAGGTGAACAAGACGCTACGAAAGAACCAGGAAAGGATAATGAAGTGAAAAGTTTGGAAGACAATCATAAAACGAAGGCTAACATTGATGGAGAGCTGGAAAGAGTTGAGGCTGACATCACAATGACTGAAGGTAGAGCTGATCTGAGTGTGACAGATGATGCTGACAGTACTCAGACTGTGAAGCAGTACTCTGAAGCTGTGAAGATGTCAGATGAAGATGATGGCAAAACAAGCACTGCTGAAACTGAACTAAATGTTCAGGTTGAAGATAAAGAGAAAGGACCTGGAGATTCTTCTCCTGAAGCTGTAAAGGAAGCCAGAGTGGAAGAAACCTCTGAGACTTCGGCCCACCAGGAGACCAGCACAACTTGGGCCTCCGTCACGAATGAAGATAGCGCCAATGTTTCCTCAGTCAGCAACTTCGTAAAGGTCAGTGATGACAGCACGGAGGAGTCTTCTTTTGTTTCAGCCACAGCTGGAGAGTCTGATGACAATGGTGCTGAAAAGGAAGATGAAGGAAAGGAGAAAGAAAAGAATCTAGAAACCGATAAAGATGTGAAGCCACTGCAAAATGAGAAAGTAGAGGAATCCGAGGATGCACCAGCTGCCATGATGGAGGTGGATTTAAACCAAAGCACCTCCACCGATGAGACCAAGCTTCACACAGAGACTACAGCGTCTACAGCTAGCCCTAGCACTGAGAGTGTCTCGCAGGATCCAGGAACTAACCAAGACACTCTGAAGACAGCAGGGACCGAGACCTTAGCAACTAAAACCAAAGAGATTAAAATTGCTAGACTGGATGTGTCAAGTGTGGCCTCAGACACAGAGAGACTGGAGCTGAAGGACGCCTCAACAACAGTAAGTTTTGCAATATTAAAAACAGATTAACTTGATACCAGTAATTGACTAAATTTATTGATTAAACTGAAAACTTCATGAGGCAAGAAAATGACTTTCTCATAAGGTCGCACAAAACAAATATTAGAATAACACATGCTTCTTTTGCAGAACCTGAGCCCAAATCAGGCAACTGCCTCAAGCCCCTCAGCTCAGGGCAATGAGGGCTCGTCTTCAGCACGGTCCACCATGTTCCGTATCCCAGAGTTCAAGTGGTCTCATATGCACCAGCGTCTTTTGACCGACCTGCTGTTCTCCATCGAGACCGATGTGCAGATGTGGAGAAGGTAAGAGAAACACAGAGAACCAAAGAAGGTCAAATAGGCAAAGGGATAAAATATCTGTATATGTGGCCCTGGAGCACAAAAGCAGTGTTAAGTCGCTGGGGTATATTTGTAGCAATAGCCAAAAATACATTGTATGGGTCAAAATTATTGATTTTTCTTTTATGCCAAAAATCATTAGAATATTAAGTAAAGATCATGTTCCATGAAGATATTTTGTAAATTTCCTACAGTAAATATATTAAAACTTAATTTTTGATAAGTAATATGCATTGCTAAGAATTCATTTGGACAACTTTAAATTGATTTTCTCAATATTTTGATTTTTTTGCACCCTCAGATTCCTGTTTTTCAAGTAGTTGTCCGATCCTTACAAACCATACATCAATGGAAAGCTTATTTGTTCAGCTTTCAGATGATGTATAAATCTCAATTTAAAAAAATTGACCCTTATGACTGGTTTTGTGGTCCAGGGTCACATATGTTCTTCTTGTTAGAATCAATATTGATAAAAAAAAAGAATAATCACCACACTAATTTGCATCAGGTTCAAGATGGTTCTGTGAATTTGACCATCAGAATTTCATACAGTGCATGCTTTATACCTTGCTACACTACAGACAGTAGACAATGGACATTTTCTGTCTGTGAAATTGTCCCGAAATTTCACGTGTGAAACACCTTAAGGGATGAGTAGAAATACTTTTGGTTAATCGACAGATGCTGTTCATAGATATTAACCTGGAAAGTATACTGAATTACAATATTATGCTCTTATTCAGTGACATAGAGCTTGGGAAATGTGCTTTATAAATAAAAATATATTTCAGACTATAATTAAAAGTAAAATACAAGAATGTTGATTACCTTGAATTACCCTTCTGCTGCCTCACAGACAGTTCGCTGTCATGTTGCATTAAGTTTCATAATTTCTTTCATAATTTCATGACTAGTTTTCTCACTTCTCCCCACAGTCATTCGACTAAGACAGTTATGGACTTTGTGAACAGCAGTGAGAACGTGATGTTTGTGCACAACACTGTCCATCTAGTCTCTCAGGTGGTGGACAACCTCATCATGGCCTGTGGAGGAATCCTTCCTCTGCTGTCTGCAGCCACCTCTTCTTCGGTTAGTATGTGTTTCCGACAGCCTGTCTACACCTGAAGCGATCTTCACGTCGCATTGCGTCAAAAGCAAATAGAACCCATTACAATCAGCAATGCTGTCTACATGGGATGCATCAGGATGGCTCAAAACTTTAAGTTGCTGACAGTAAATGGAAGCACCCGTTCTCTATCTGACTTACTCCATCCACTTGTGCTACTCCTGACAATAGGACAAATGGATTTGGAAAGTTCGCTTTCGTGCCTCAAGTGCTGTGGTGTGATGCAATGCATTTCCCCTGCCACTGATGTGTTTCAGTCACACTAAAGGACAGTTAGGTTAATTGAATTTGTCCACCCTTCCTCCGTTATTGATTGGACATACTGTACGTTTGGCAGTGTTTACTAGTAGACATCAACAGATTTCAGCAGTGTTCTTGTCATTATGAAATTCTATTAGTTATTAGTTTAGGTTATTTGATATTTTGACTAATTTGATTATGCTTTAAGCTTCCAAAAAATGCAGTGCCCTCTTTTTTTAATTTAATACACCTTTCAGGTTTTATTGTGTAGAGTTAATATGAAATATAGCGTTATAATATAGTGCATTAATATGAAACAACAACAAACAAGTATTGCAATTTTTATAAAAATTGAATAACTTACTCTGCCTCTGAAATAACTTTTCATGCAAAATCGCGAAAGCTGCTTAAGTTTCAACCAGTTGTGTTTCAGGAGGGGAATGGCCTCCACATTTGCATTCAGATCCATTCCTGTACGGAACGACTCTATTTCTGATAGATAAAACAATACCCCAGCCAGCATATTTGTTTCTCATTGAATTTCCTGTTTTATTGAAGAGATCACATTACAAAAGTAAAATGGGTTGCAGACACAATTACATGTCTTAAAAAAAAAAAAAAAGCATACAGATTTTGCATAAGCTGAGCAATCTTGATGGTTTTCCATGCCATTCACATAATGGATAATTTCAGTCAAGTCTGAGAGAACACTTAACTCATGGTGTGTTAGAGTGTACACATTAAATTAACACAGATCTCATTAGACAGAAGAGAGTCTTAATGATCATCATTTATATTCTTGTGAGTAATTTGAGTACAATAGCCATGATAATGAAAAGTGAGGGTGAGGATAAAGGTGACCATCAGTGCATTATGAAGATTTGAGTGAAGATGGTGCTGATTATGAAGGCTGTAGTTACAGTAATGATGATGATGATGGCACTGTCTTGCAGCATGAGCTGGAGAACATTGAGCCGTCTCAGGGTTTGGCTGTGGAGGCGTCACTGATGTTCTTGCAGAGGCTGATCAATCTCGTGGACGTGCTGATCTTCGCCAGTTCACTCAACTTCACTGAAATTGAAGCAGAGAAGAACATGTCTTCTGGAGGAATCCTGAGACAATGCCTGCGTCTGGGTATATCTCTCTTTCTGTCTTTTAAATTAGTGCTGTTTGCTAAGGCTTGTTATTAATCTATTAAGGCTTATTACAGTAGCTGTTGCTCATACTAACCCTACACTATTAAACTTTGCCATGTAACCTGCCCCGTACTGTTTGTGCTACAAACACAGATTTGTACAAACTGTGCGGCTTGTTGCGGGGAAGGTAGGATCTGAGACATTCATGTATATATGGACTTGAATCAATAAGTAACCATATAGCAACACCTTAGCAACTGCATAGGAACATGCTAAAAATGCTCAAAACACCTTAGTAACATCCTGACAACCATCCACGACACCCTAGAATTGTGATAGTGAGTTTTGCATGGGCAAGAAATACATTTTTTCTATATTACCTTTCAGAAGCTTAGGGTGTGTTAGAATTAGATTTTTGAAAGAAATTAATAGTTTTTTTCAGCAAGGATGCATTAAATTAATCAGAAGTGACATTTATAATGTAAACATTACATTATATACATTACATACTTTTACATTATATAATGTAAAAGACTTCTATTTGAAATAAATGCTGTTCATATGAACTTTCTATTCATCAAATCCTGAAAATTTTTTATATATATATATATATCATGGTTTCAACTGATTCCAACATTAATAACAAGTGTTTCTTGAGCACCAAATCAGCATACTATAATGATTTCTGAAGGATCATCACGAGAATAAATTACATTTTAAAATGTATTAACATAGAAAACAATTAATTTAAATAATATTTGACATAGTCATACACTACCAGTCAAAAGTTTCTGAACTGTAAGATTTTTAATGTTTTTTAAAGAATTCTCTTCTGCTCACCAAGCCTGCATTTATTTAATCAGAAATACAGCAAAAGCAGTAATATTGTGAAATATTTTTACTATTTAAAATGATTCTAATATTCTGATTTGCTGCTCAAAAAACATTTGCTAGTGTAACATTTAAATCATATTTGACAGTATTACTGTTTTACTGTATCTTTGATCAAATAAATGCAGCCTTGACTGCAAAACTCCCAAAACAGTAAAAACTCTTTTTGAATTGTAGTGTGTGTATATCCCTGAATCAGTGCCTCATCTCTTTTTCCTGTCCTGCTCACTCACTGTTAGTTCCTCCTCTTTTTTCATTCCTCCATCATTTTTAAATAATATCCTGCTCTTTTTTCTCAACCTGCTTCTCTCTCTCGCTCACTGACCCCCTTTTTTTTCTCCTAAAATCATCCTAACCCCTTCATGGCGAATCAACTCGCAATTGATTTTAATTGAGTTTGATGTTAGCATGTTGATAAGCTAAACATCTGGAGCACTGAGGCAGCTCACTAGGTTTTGGAGCAGAGCCATTTTTGCTCATTGATTTCTCTCTATTGGCTCATTTGGTAGAGGTAATAACTGCTTTTCCCTTCCATTCCTCGCTCTCTTTCTCTGTTTTGTGGGATTTCTTTAATAGCGTTATTATAAGCTCTCCACACTGCAGTGCTCTAAAATGACGACCGTCATCAGGCCATTGACTCTAATGGCTGTTTTGTAGCCTGAGGCACCTCCTCCTTTATGTGTCTGTGTATCACAAACTGTACTGCAGCGTTATAGACCACATAACAGAAATCCAGCGTTCAGATCGGTTACATTATTCATTTCTCTTTCTCACACAAACACCCACACACTCTACATGACCCTCCCTGAAGCTATCTAGACACCATCAAACTCCCGCTCCTCTAAATACAACACTTGGTGGAGTGAGAGAGAAACTGAAGCCTGCTTTTAGGAGGGCTGAAAGTATAAAATGAATATTTGATGAGGTCTGCCAGTGTGTAATCTGATTTGGGATCTGTAACAAGGTTCTGCTTCTATAGCTCTCTTTCTGTCTTTCGCTCACTCCTTTGCTCAAATGACTAGAAAGCCTAATGGAAAAAGCTGGTCGGTTCCCGCGCTGGAATAATACCTTTAATCTGAGCATTTAGGAGTTTACATTTGCCAGTTGTCAAGGTATGAGAGGATAGAAGGTTGAATAGAGACATACCCATGCACAGTCACACACACACATTATCGTGCAGTGCATTAAAACAAAAACACACACACATGCACCATGCACTGATCTTACATATAGCATGCAGTACATCAAATTAAATGCAGTAAGAGGATTTTTCTGCACCACGGTGGTGGAAACCTGGCCAAAATGATTAAACACAGAATAAGCAACGTCATCTGTTTTCGAAACCTCATACAGTTTAATGCGTTTTCCTTTTCGACTCTATGCAACTGTTATGTCTTGGAGAACAATTACCTTGAAACGTGTTTCTGTATTGTTAATTCATATAACATTATTTTATACTTAGGTGTTTATTTTTAGTGGTGCTTGCTAAGTAGTGATGTATGATATATTGGTACTATATTTGTTAGCCAGTATTAGAGATTTTTATCTGTACAAGTAGATATTTGTTATATATTATGTTATATTATATTATATAAAATATATGGGTTATATTTGGATTACCTTTGCCATCATCTAACATTAATTAAATGTAATCTTTAAAAACACTAATAATTTAATAAGGCTGTTAAATTTAGGTTTCTAATATATATTAATATATATATATATATACACACACACATATATATATATATATATATATATATACCTTTAGTCTATTTAGACAAAATTGTATAATTAGTATAATTTTTTTGGCAATTTATTGAAATATTTTTAGAGATTAAAATAAATGTTTTCTATTTTAATATATTTCAAAATTACAGGAATTTATTTCTGTGATCAAAGCTGAATTTTCAGCATCATTACTCCAGTCTTCAGTGTCACATGATCCTTCAGAAATCATTCTAATATGCTGATTTGGTACTTTTTATTATTAATGTAATATTTTGGTGGAAACTGATAAACATTTTTTTTTCTGGATTCCATGATGAAAATTTTATTTTATTTTATTTCAAATATACATTTTTCCAATATTGTAAAAGGTTTACTGTCACTTTTGATCAATTTATGCGTTCTCGCTGAATAAAAGTATTAATTTCTATATTAAAAAAAAAAAAAAGATCATACTGACCCAAACTTTTGAACAGTAGCGTATTAAAGTTTATCGTCCCACACCATACCTAGAATCATGCTGCTTTTCGAGCAGAGATGTACTTTTAAATGACTAGATTTATGATGATCTGCCAGGTGGACATTAAAACATTTCTTAGACTTACACACTGAAGGAGGGACCTGAACCATATCTAGAGTCTAGAATATCATAGAGATATCATAGAGGGGTGGGCTTTTATTTTTTGACTTTGCACAGTAAGCAGCCACCTTTCAACCACCATGCAATGCCTTGGGGTGTGTTCACACCTGTCTTGTTTGGTTTGATTGAATCGAACTCAAGTTCATTTCCCCTCTTGGTGCGGACCTTTTTGGCAGGTGTGAATACAGCAATCGCACTCAGGTGCGAACCAAACAACTGTACCGAGACCCAGCTGAAGAGGTGGTCTCAGTCCGCTTCCAAACGAACTCTGGTACGGTTCGTTTAAGGTGTGAATATGACCCGTAGTTGCAAGTTGTGCATACTTTCTGTCAATAGCTTTTATTTTTTAGGGTGTATTCACACCTGTCTTGTTTGGTTCAGTTGAATTGAACTCAAGTTCATTTCCCCTCTTGGTGCGGACCTTTTTGGCAGGTGTGAATACAGCAATCGCACTCAGGTGCGAACCAAACAACTGTACCGAGACCCAGCTGAAGAGGTGGTCTCAGTCCGCTTCCAAACGGACTGTGGTACGGTTCGTTGAAGGTGTGAATATGACCCGACCTCAATCTGACCCAATTGCAGAAATCACGCTCCCAAACAGACAGCTCGCGCATATAGTGCTGTTTTTTGCGTTTCAATGGCTTAAATCACTTGTTTTTAAACCACAATGCTTAAAAACACTTCTTAGACTTACACACTGAAGGAGGGACCTGAACCATATCTAGAGTCTAGAATATCATAGAGATATCATAGAGGGGTGGGCTTTTATTTTTTGACTTTGCACAGTAAGCAGCCACCTTTCAACCACCATGCAATGCCTTGGGGTGTGTTCACACCTGTCTTGTTTGGTTTGATTGAATCGAACTCAAGTTCGTTTTCCCCTTTGGTGCAGATCTTTTGGGCAGGTGTGAATACAGCACTCGCACTCTGGTGCGGACCAAACAACTGTACCGAGACCCAGCTGAAGAGGTGGTCTCAGTCCGCTTCCAAACGAACTGTGGTACGGTTCGTTGAAGGTGTGAATATGACCCGACCTCAATCTGACCCAATTGCAGAAATCACGCTCCCAAACAGACAGCTCGCGCATATAGTGCTGTTTTTTGCGTTTCAATGGCTTAAATCACTTGTTTTTAAACCACAATGCTTAAAAACACATGCAAATGATGAGTTTTCCTGACCATGGCGCACAGCAACGTGACTTGAGCGTGCTAAATAGGCTAAAGCTTGCCGCTAAAATTACCATGACTATGTTGGGGGAAAATAGTAAGGAGATTTTTGAATTATTTATTAATAAACTAGTGTTTTATGAGTTGCTATTGGGGAATCCCAAAACCAAAATATGTACCTTTCATTACCCATAATAGGGGCATCCTATTAGTTTTCTTTATTTTAGAACAACACAACGTTTTCTTGATATTGTGAGTGCACAAATAAAAACGGACCCTTTACAGTTACGAATGATGTATTATTCTTACCTTTATGAGCAAAAATTACGGCGTATTTAATTTGTTTCCACTGATGTCCTGAAGCGCGCTTCAGCTTCCACTCTCCGCACAAACGATTGGATATGCACTTAATAGCGCACATTTATATAGGTTAAATGTTTAAACTAACATTGTGTTATGCTTTAAGTATTTTATATCTATAGATTTTATTTCGGCAAGTCGTAATTACAACATTGTATGATATTGTCTCATATGATGCTCATAAGTTCACTTGCAAAAAAAGGGCAGTGTGAAAGCGAACCGAACCAAACAAAAAAAATCAACATTGTATTTGGTCCGGACCAAAGCAAGTGAACTAGTGGACTTTCCTGGTGTGAATACACCCTTAGAAACTACCCAGAACACCCTAGAAACAACACTACAACACACAAAACACTAACACCTTAGAAATGCACATAATCTTCCAAAAAGTCTACTTATGGCTTCAGTTTTCACTGGTTTCACTCATAAGATGGTATTTTAAGCCCTTTTTCATTGTCATGCAACGACCTTCTCATATGTCATGTTTCCTTTAGTCTATATATCTTTTCGTTCTAGTACCCTTTCATCTCTGTGACGTTGTCTTCTTCTCAGTATTTCTACCTCTCAGTTGCACTCTCTCTCTATCTGTCCCTCTCTCACACGCTCTCCCTCCTCCTCAGTGTGCGCGATGGCTGTGAGAAACTGTCTGGAATGTCAGCAGCACACTCTGGGTAAGTCTGGTGCAGAGAGCAGCCGTGGACAGCAAAGCCTTCTGGGAGCCGCCAAGTCTATACCAGCACAGGCAAGTTCAACATCATGCCAAGGATACCTCTCTCTCTCTCTCTCTCTCTCTCTCTCCCTCTCTACTGTCCAGATGGTAATTTTAAATAGAATCCTTTTGCTCAAAATGGTCCATGGTTTGATTCTTACAGTTCCAGTAAAAAAATAAACCCCTTTTCTTCTTTAATGTGTCGTGTAACTTACACTCACAGCTCATCTATTATTTAGAATCTTAGCAAAACTGTTGCATTAGTGCCTCTGTGCCTCAGCGCTGTCTAAATGTGGAACAGCAAACAAAAGTCTTCCTAGTTTTTTTACTAAATCCAACTGATATCGTGTGTTGGAGCAGTGGGAGCATTTTTTGAAAAAATATAAATAAAAAACTGTTCTGAGACTGTGAACTGTGTGTGTTGCAGAGTCCTGTGGACATTGTGACAGGAGGGATGTCTCCTATCAGAGATTTAGACCGGCTTCTGCAGGACATGGACATCAATCGTCTCCGTGCTGTAGTGTTCAGAGACATAGTGAGTCTCTCCATACTCTTATTCAACTAACACATCCCTCGCTGGCTCTGATCTGCCACTCATTCAGCTAATGTCTCTTTTATTTTCTATAGTGCAGTCAAACAGTGTTTCATTTGAAATAATTTTTGTATTAATGTAAAGGTCTTTACTGTTACTTTTGATCAATTTAATTCATCCTTGCTGAATAAAAGTATTTATTTCTTTCTTTCAAAAAACTGCCCCCAAACTTTTGAACAATAGTGTGGCTAATTTTAACAATACTCTAACATTTGTTTTGTTTTGTGCTGTGCTTTAGGAGGACAGTAAACAGGCTCAGTTCCTGGCCCTGGCAGTGGTCTACTTCATCTCTGTACTCATGGTATCCAAATATCGAGACATCCTTGAGCCACACAATGACAAAAGACATGCCCAGCGCTCACAGTCTGTCAGGAGCACAGGTGACCACCTGAACCCACACACATCACTGCTGCAAGATTGAACCCACAGAACCTACAGACCAGATACACACGTATTCAGTTTTTTGAGCAGTGGACTGTGTTGTTTTTTGCAGAGAGTGTTCAGTCTGATCTTGAGAACGGTTTGTCTCATCATCGAGAATCTAGTATTGAGGATGCGAAAACCTCAGTCATCCCCAGTGATGCCGAGACACGGACCGGCCCAGATGCTGTATCTGAAGCCCTGTCTACTTTGTCCTCTGAAGTCAGGAGAGGTCAGGAGGTCACTGATAGAGACAGCAAAGGAAAAAACGTCAATGTCAAGGATATTCTGAGAAGTCTGGTTGGTGCTCCCTCTGATGACATTATGGTGGACCCTAGCCTTATACCGCCCGGGTTTCTGGGTGCAGTGGGCGATGCTTCCCGTGACCAGTCCGTCCAGTTTCACTCCTTTGACAGGTGAGTGGACAATCAGAATTTATAGTTCACTGGCCAATCCGTGCACACAGATGCAAGTGCTTTGCTAGAGGCGCAAAGATTTTTTTATAGCTCTTGTTCTCTCTCGCCACACATCATGTAAAAAACAAAACATGTTTTCTCTTTGAGTGTGCTATGGCAGCGGTCTGTGTGCTTTTTATGATGGACACCCCCACAGAGAACCTGACTTCTGCTGTGGAAGTGTGCCGTTCTACACAAACAAACAGCCTTACAAAAGCAGAGCCCATCAAAACGGGCCCCAGGAGATGCATACACATACACTTGTCCATTCCTCCACCAGTGGACTTGTGTCTTTGTTTGCTGGTTGATGTGTGTGTGTTAGGGCAGAAATGGTTATTGTAAAGAAAAAAAAAAAACACCAATACAGTTCTTCTGCTATTTGTCTCATATCTAGCAATAGGGCTCAACACTAAGGATTTTGTGTGCTGGTTCATATTTTTGCTTGCCCTGCCAAAATTTTCACTGGCCTCCACAAAAAAATTACAAATAAAATAAAATACAAAAATAATAAAATCAATCAATCAATAAATAAAAGTAAATACAAGAAATAAAATAATAATTAATAAATAAAAATAAAATAGTTATTGTTAAAAATAAATAAATAGTTATTGTTTTTGTTGTTTTTGACCCATGTAACCCAATGTAAAATTTAACTGGTATCTAAATCTACTAGCCTGACTAGTATAAAGGTGACACATTAAAGACAAGCAAACCATCAGTAATAAACTAAAACCAAATTACAAGCAATAGCACAAATAAATACAATATAATAAAGATGCTATACAAATTAAATAAACAGTTCTTTATGATTTTCAGGTAGGTCTGACCGTATTGAATAAAGTAATCAAATGTAAAATAACACTTCATAGCCTATGTAAATTAATGTATAGATTAATCCTTATTAAAGTTAGAAAAGTTATTCAGTCAAAAGCAGTGAGTTATTTATTTATTTTTTTTGTTTGTTTCACATTAATGGCAGCAGCAGGTGTATTAGGCTGCTGTCACTTTAAGACATAATGCATGGATCCAATATACTGATACACATGCATTTTCTTCTGAACTGTGCTTTTTAATATTTTAGTGAAAACTGTGATACAACCATGATTTTTTGATGAATAGAAAGTTCAAAAGAACAGCATTTATTTAAAATAGGAATCTTTCATAACATTATACATAGCTTTACTGTCACTTTTGATCAATTCAATGAATTCTTGCTGAATATAAATATTAATTTCTTTAAAAATCTTACTGACCCCAGTCATTTGAATAGATTTTGTGTACATAAGTGGCAGATGTCAGATTGCATGCGCACCAATTCTAAACCTTTTGTGTCTTTTGGGATGTTTTTTATTCCTTTGCATTGCTGTCTGTTGTTTAAGGAGGGTAGTGTAACTGCTGCTCCATGGGGTGCGTGGGGTGCGTTGGGAAACAAGATCCATTGCTATGTGTTGGCGGACGTCTGCACTGTCTGGTTTTTATTTGCTGCATTGTCTGTGCATAAGTCTGACATAACCAGAGAGGGTTTATTATAAAAAAGAAAGAAAAGAAAAAAAGGGAGATTTTGGTTTTGTGTTGGAAGTTGAAAGCAGTATGTCATGCCATCTTCTTTCTGTTTACCTCCTGCTCTCTCACATCTCTTCTCCTTTCTATGTCTTCTGGGCATCTGTGAGACATCCCTCTGATCTGGCCTTGTGTTTTATCTGAGGAATGCTCTGTCAGGTATCACAGCGCTGCTGGTATCAGGACAGGGATTATACTGGCTCCTGCAAAGATCCCAGCACTCACTGCAGCTCTCTTCTGCCGTCAGCTTTTCTTAGAGAGGACTTGGTCCTCCATCAGGTCTTCAGTCAAACCAAGCTTTTCTTAAGGCCTGTTTACACCAACACAAATGTTTGGCACAAAAATGTGGTCTGTTTTTCGCATGCGATTTGTCTTTTCAGACCAAGGTGTGAAAAAAACGGCAGAGGAGTTGAATGAAAATGCAAATTCACTCTCTGACAGTAGGTGGCGCTTATAGACAAGCAGAAATACTTATAAAAGTATAAGTCAAATAGTATTTACATGTCTTCAAACAGCCGTTCAGATTTTTTTTTTTGCTGTGGTGTTCATGGTTTGTGATGTGCAGGTTAAGATTCTCCCCAGCTATTCATTGTCGTTTAGCAAACTCCACCAAGCAAGCTTTATGTACAGTAAAAGCAGTGGCTCTGGGAATATAAATTAAAGCGTAAATCTGATTGGTTGGCTAATTTTTCAGCAGTTCGATGGCGAAGACAGAACATCTCTGTACAAAAAAAATCTGTATCGTTGACTGAATGTGAATGTTTGTGTCGGTCTGAACGGACACATTACCAGCTGTTGATTAAAATTTAAATATTTTCGCTTCAGATTTTCCCACCAAATATTCATCTTTTTCAATCTTTTGAATTTTTTTTCAATATTAGTATTTAAAGATCAAATTGATCTGAATGTATGTTTTACGTACTATAACGGTTTTTTTAGCTTTCCATTTTTAATCAACCTAAAAATTGGCCTTCAAAATTTACTTTAAGATGAAATTATTTTTACATTAATTTTGATAAATTTTTAATAAATAATTTTTAAAAGATTTTTCAAATATAGATGCAGTCTTCTACATAATATGAGGTTATTAAAAAGAATAATCAAAATGCTGCTTAAAGCCGTTTTAAATGAAGTGTAATGTCACCTGGGACATGCCAGCTTCCCAAAAGTATTTCATGTCAACTACCAATTTACCAGAGCGTGAGTGAGCCTCTTATCTCGTCTCAGGATCCCCCGGCGGAGAGGTGCCGAGTTATCTGGATGACTCCAGCTCTGAGTCTGGTGTTCTCCGAGTCCACTTACACACTCTTCAACACACACTCACTTGCCCTGTCTGCCGAACATTCTTTCTTTCTTTACTGCTTTCTAGCTATCATTCTGCGTCCCGTTTTTTGTCTCATTTTGATTTGACTATTTTGATATGTTTTCCAAAGCACTCTAGCACCGCACCTATGAATGAGTTACCAAACTAATATTTCAAACTCGGAGCGATGAATACTCCCACTGTTCCCTCTGCTGAAGTCTGATCAGTGTTGCTGCATTTTACTCCATTTGTACTATGTACACAGAGCTTCCCTGAAGTTATACTGAAGCATGCATGCTTGCTTAACAAAGTGTATGTTGGAACACCCAGGGTGGTGTGATTGAATACCAGGGGATTTACAAGTGTTATATATGGGGGGAAAAACAGGGTCTCCCAGATAAACCAGGCCTGGGGTCAAGGGTAAAACAGACGTTAAATTTATTTACTATCAACAACATCCCGATTTCACCATACGTCTTTCTTACCCCACTCTTGTTTTGACATTAAGTCTGCGAATATTTGCTGATAGGATCCAGAGACCAGTGAATGGTGTCATAATGACTTGTTGGACAAAAATGAGATGTACCCATGAGTAAATGAATATGGCTGGAGAAAGGGTTAGGATTCTTGACAACAGGTTCTTTGATTTTGACAGCTATGAAAATGCGATGAAAAAGATGCATCATAACAATGATGAAACGGTTTTAATTAAAACCCACTGTTGATGGTATGATGAGCCAAAAAAAAAAAAAAAGATTAAAATAATCCAATCATAGTATGCAAGATTTGAAATTTGAAATTATGAACTAAAATGTTGTTTATTTATTTATTTATTTGTTTGATTGCCATTTCAGTTGAAGCAAAATGGACAAAAATTTAATGAATATGTCATGATGAAATATAGACTAAATTTAGAGGCCTTGACTGTTTTCATCCATGACATGAAACTGATATTTCTGGTATCATGTTTGTACCCTAACCTCTAAAGAAGACACAAAGGGATACATTTTTAAAATGTATTTAACTTTATTTGGCTTTTAAATGTATTTAAATTAAAAAAATTAAATAAAACGGCACAGTTTGAAACTTACCACCAGCAAGACTAATTTAAAGCAGCATTTCTATGTGAAGAAGCTGATTGTTCAGGCCTTGTTTGTTGAAAATGTCGATCCATGTCCAGTAAGATGAGTTTCTCACACACACATTTCCTCGCACCCGATCTCACATTTGTGCAGATTACGGGAAACATGCTGTTTACATGTCGTGTCCGGGAGTGTTGGTTAAAACTGTTAAATAATTCAGCGTCTGGAATCCAAACTCCATGTGCGCTGGCCTCTCGTCTGGTGGTATAAACCTGGCAGCTCTGATTAATTGACAGCGGTAGTGAGTTGGGGCTAAGTGTGGCTAATGGTGTGCTGAATAATTTAAAACCTGTGTCTTTGAGCAGATGGATGCAGCAGCCGTCCACCCCCACCATCCCACCACCGGTCAGCGGTAAACATGCACTTGAGAGAGAACATAAATGTGCTCTAATAGAGTTTTTGGAACAGCGCACTGTTGTTCAGCAAATGCTGATGTCATGAGCTGTGAACCTTCTAGTTTACAAGTTCCTTTCGTTTTCTTGCACTGGATATTTTCAAGTTAAGGAGACATCAGATGTTTAGAAATGGTGTGAGAACACTCTCATTCTCGTGCCTTTGCTCCTAGGCAACTTCCAGCGGGACGTTTGAAGCGGTCTGTCCTAGACGGCTCTTATCTGATGCTGGCGTAGCTCCTCAGTCTGTAGTGTCTTTGTGGATGTGTTCTGGAGAGGAGCTGGTGACTGCGTAGCATTACCCCTCTGTCAGCACTGATAAACTCAACACCAGCCACTGTGAAAGGCCAGAGCTCTGTCATGGTTTTCAGCTGATATGAACCATTTCCATTTTTACCTCTAGACTATGTAGAATGCAGCAGAGACCCGTGATCATTATGAAAGCTTACTGATGTGTTCTTTATCTTTCAAACATTTTTACCATTTGTGATTATGTAAATGTTACCATGGTTACTTGCTGTGTGTTTGATATGTTTCCTCCCTGGTTTACTTCAACATGCATTCTTTTCTTTAATACTGTTTTATTTTTATTAGGACACCTACTCATTCTTATATATATATATATATTTTTTTATATGTTATAACACAAATGAACCTATGATAAACGAATTAAAAAGTGATAAACCTGGAATGCGGATCTAAAAGTCTTGAAGGCGTTCCATGCTTATGCTTGGCACTTGTTGATTTTTTTTTACTTTCTTGTCCTCATAAAACAATAAACATGTAAAAAAAAAAAAGGTATGTTTGCAATTGCACACCTGAATAAGGTTTATGGCTGTGCAAATGTATATTTTTTGAACGACAAGATGAGGAGCATGATGCAGTTCCTGAGCCACCAAAGAAGTAGAACCTAAATGGAAATAGAAAAGTCTGTGGCTAAAACCACTGATGGAGAGAAAACCTGCTCTGCCTGCAATGTATGAATGGTTTCCAAAAAATTATTCCATGACTGCCCTTTGTTATTTTGAAAAACATGGAAAAGCAACTATAAAAAATGAACTTTTGATCTTTTGATTTGATTGTTTTTGTTATTATTATATCACGTATACTATCCATACTTCAAAATATCCATATTGCAAAATAAACACCAAAATTATTTTGTGGTCCATACAAGTCCATTCTAGTGTTCAAGTTTTCTAATGCCAGACCAACAAGAAGAACAGACCAAAGTTTAGGTCGTTATTCACTGAAAATCTTCCCCTCCATCGTAGCTCTTAAAGCCCATGTAGAGGCAATTCAGAGAATTGTTTCTAAACACATTATAAATGTTAGAAATGTATTGCTGAAAACACGTTACAAAGACTGTGAACTATGTAGTACTGAATTGTGGAGTTAGACCGTGAAACAGTTTTTCACCATTTTTGTGTTCAGGATTTTTTTGGACGGGACTCGATGACGCACTGGAGCCTCTGAG